CAGGAAGCTTGGGCTAGGTGACAACTTTCGAATGGCCCACGCACAGGGCAGACCAAAAGAGGCAGATGATGTGCCCCCCACTAACATCCCTCAGCCGAGGACTGGCAGGAGTTGGTGGATACTCCACGTACCTTGCCTCTTGGTTGGGATACCTTTGAGGTGTGTTCTATACTGGAGTCATCTAGAGTTATCCAGCAGGACTTAACCTGAGTTAATGACCGTGATAACCTATGAGGTGATGCACCTTGTATTGACTTCCTTCCCTTTCCTGTCTCTCTTCCACAGACTCCTGCTTCCTGGAATCACCATGCAAATAAACCATTTGCACTCAGATCCTTGAATTAAGAAAAGTTTGCTTCTGGGGAATCCAACCTAAACCAGTATGTGTCTCTTCAGTTAGAATACTAGCTCCACTGGGACTGAGAATATGTTTGTCTTTTTCACAATTCTACCTCCAGGACTCATCAATAGCCCAAGGTCAGTACTCCAAAGGTGCTGGGAAAACACTGGTTCACCATTTCCCCTCTGACACATCTAGAGTTTGCCGCCTATGACTGGTCCTACGAGACACGAGTAGGCAGTTTATCCCACCACGTTCAGCGTGGGCTGCACGCCTTCCCAGCACTTCTCTGAAGACAGTGCTGTGCTCGTGGCATTCATGCTCCATTGTCTCCTAAACTGCATCGACACAAACTGTCAGTAACTATGTGCACATCCTGTAATAGGAGCCCCTGGACTTTACTAAGATATTTCACTGCCAGAATCTGCTGCCTCTCTTCACTATTGACCTTCTACATGTGTCTCCTTCTTCTTGACCTACTCTATGTCATTTCCGAAAGGTACAGCAGCATAGACATTACAGCATGGTGTTTAAGGATCCACATTTCAGAGTCAAATGGCCCCCTCTTCAAATCCCAACTCTGCCACTGACTAAGCAGGTGACCTTGAGAAAGTTACTTGGTTCCTAGTAAATGTCCTCCTGTGTAAAATAGGGAGGATGGTATGTATGGCACAGGATTATTTTGAAGATTAAATGATATATGTATCATACATGATTCTCATTGTGTTGAGTAAATGACAATAGATAAAATACTAAAGGGTATAGTTAAAGACATTAGGGGTCTGCCCCAGGCAATATATTTCACCGAATGTTACTCAGCCATTCCACGTTATTTAAACACATTTCTAAATTCACACTGAAAGCGTTCCCCATATATTCTTACTCAAATACCTAACCTTTGTTGGGTGACACTCCTCTCAGTGGCCAACACCTTGAAGCATTCCTGAATTTGAAACTCCACATTCCTCTCCCAGGCACATACACCTGTGCCCAGGCCATGTACAAGTTCATTGAGCTGAGCTGTAATGCTGTGTTTCACCAGGAGTGGCCGCTCTTTGACTGACCTACATGTAACATATTTCACAACTGAAGAAGCTCTAAGTGAATGCCCAAGGAATCAATTTTTAAAATTAAAAATAGATTTATTGTGTTTATTTGAAGAGATGCCTTGCAGTATGTCTCTCGTGACATTCCTCTGGGGAGGATCAGATTTGGGGACACTTAGCCATCCAAACGGCGGAGCGCAGGCTCGGAGGAAGTATTCCTCCCCACGCAGCACAGACTGCGCTGCGTTTCCTCTCAGTCGTCGTGAAATCAGCGGCATACCAATTATAATTTGGGGCTTGTAAACAGCCAGAAGATTCCCTTGGAGAGAGCAATTATATTCCCTTTAACAAACTGTAGGGTAAACGGCTTCTCTTAAATATGCTGTGTGCTGAGTGCAAAGTAGATTTATGTTATTGATGCTAAAAGGCGGGGGATTTGGGGGGACAGAGACATGAGGAGACTTATAAAAGAGCAGAGAACATCAAAAATGCCATGGAATAAGAGGGAAGACCCAAAAAACCCGGAGTTACCTTATAAAAAAGTGTGTATTTATTCTTACATTTTAAACTCCAGTCACCTTTTAAGTGCTCTCCATTTGATGTAATACACCTATTGAGACTTTTTTCCCACTGCTCAGAACAGTTTTTGAACTCATAAATTTTGATGCTTTTAGTGCTTCTGTGGTTTTTTGTTTCACCTCTTCCACATCAGCAAAATGTTTCCCTTTGAGGACTTTTTTCATCCAGGGAAACAAAAAAAAAGTTGTCTGGGGCAAGATCAGGTAAACAGGGAGGGTGGGGCACAGGGGTCCTGCTGGTTTTGGTTGAGAACAGTGGAACACTCAGCATGGTGTGGATAGGTGTGCTTGCACATGAGCAAACTCATTGAAAGAATCTTCAAAAAGAAATTTACTGAAGTCGAACACACTATGTGAGTTCCCAGCTGGTACACTGTTACAGATGGGTTCCTAGAACACTCACCTAGCAGGGGAAGCCTGTACTATGAGGGGCCTGCCCTCCAGAAAATAATTCTGAGTTTTGGGGGGTCCCTCTTTGTATTACCAATCAGGGCAGAATTGATTTGGCCTATCCAAATAAACATGCATGGTCACATGTTCAGAGCACTGATTTGGAGTGGTTTTGTATCCATCTCACCGTGCTCATTGTGTTCCTTTGAGCATGATGGTTCACCATGTTAAAACTCACCTTCCTCTTCTGAAAAGTGGGAATAACAATGCTTACTTAATAAGGTTATTCTAAGAATCAAATGACCAAACATACCTGAAATGTCTAGAATAGCAGACACCGCCCAAATAGTACCATATATCAGATGTTATCACTGCTGAACCCACACCCCCTTGGAGGTCACCATTACCTGTGTGGCTAATGGCTTCCTATGGAGAGGATCTGAAGTTCTCTGCCCGTGGATTCTCTCAGCCCAGGTACATGGGGCAGGAAGAAAGTGCCAGGGAGTTAACACTTTCAGGAACAGACCTTAGACATCATGCAGAAAATTTAGCAATAAATGTCCATTTCCTTATTCCGTAATCAGGACAAGTCTGAGCTTTGTTCCACGCTGCCGCCCGAGGGTCTCCTGTGGGACTGAGCCCCATTTGCCCCTGCGGAAGCCTGCCCATTAGTGCACCTGCATTGGCTTTTATCACTTTCTAGTCTCACTTTCTTACTTCCTGATGGGAGCTTCCTGGGAGCACCTCCAAATCACACCACTGGCACTCAAAACCTTGTTTCAGGATGAAGTCCAACCTAAACACTATACTCACACTGTAAGCAGGCTCAGTCATCTGGACAGTGGGCTTACAGCAGCAGTTTTCAGCCCGTGGGCTGTGGCACACCGGTGTGCTGCAGACGCTTTTCAAATGTGCAATACCTGACTACTTGGTCAGGGGCACTGGCTCCTTTTCCCTTAGAGCATCAAATTAAAAGTGCCAAGAGCCAATGCAACAATAACTACCCTGTGTGAATGAGTCAAAATTATACCTATTTTTGTCAGATCAGCAAAAAAAATGTTTTAAATTCGGTGCCACAGAATTTTAGTAATTAGTTTCTGTGTGCCATGAGGTGAAAGGCTTGAGAAGTGCCCGGCTTACTGTAAACTGTTCCGTTTGCTAACCAAACCTTGTCTGCTCAGCTTTCCTCCACCTCCTTCTCTTCTACCCTACAGCCATCCCTTGGCTAAGGCTCTTCTCATTTGTTTTTTCTGCCCTGTAGTCTCTGACTGATCTCCATGCTTCCAGTGCCTCTGCCATCTAATTCATCACCCACTTACTGCCAAAGTTACCATCCTAAAATGCAGTTCTGTAATACCATTCCCTTGCTGTTGTTTTTTTTCTTTTCTATTTTAAAGACTTCAGTGGTTTCATTGCCTTCCCAATTATGTGATAAATTTTATAACATGGTATGTAAAAACCCTCGAAAGCTGGTTCCAAGCAACCTTTCAGCCTCATTTCCAGTGATTGCTAAACACAGCTGATGCTCAGCCCACACAGAAAATGCCAGTGTTGTCTCAAAGCCCTTTCGCTAGTCACCTTTTAGAGATATTATTTACATTCAAAACCTTTTGATGTGTTTGAATGTACATGTGATTTTCCCTGTCTGAAGAACCAGCCTCATTTGCACGGCCTGGCTCAAAATGCCCCCTCCTCCAGGAAGACTTCTCCAGTTCCCCGGGCAAGTCAACAGTTCCCTCCTCTGGGCTCCCACCATAACATCTGAGCTCACTGACTCATGCATTCATTCGTTCAACAAGCATTTTCTGAGCATTTTCTACTATAAACCAACCATGTGCAAAGTCCTGGGGAAACCATGCTGGAGAAAAAGCAGAAAATGCATGAAGATCACAGTTGGGAAAAGGAAACAGACATTATCAGGAAATCATATAAAAGACTGGCAGCGTCTGCACAGTGACTAGATCATACACCTACCATTTCTCAGCGAGGTCTTTTTAAACTGGAGCATGGCAACCCCCAACTTTTTATCTTGAAAATAGAAGTTTGTCTACAAGCTCTTCTTCAAATTGCTCTGTAACAAAAAAAATAAAGCATAAAGCCAGTTATATGTGTGGAGGGAGAGGGGGTGGGGGGAAGAGAAAGGTGGGGGGAAAGAGAGAGAGAGAGAGAGAGAGAGAGAGAGAGAGAGAGAGAGAGAGAGACTGTTGGGAAATGCAGAGAACCCAGTTTATAATGGCCTGAAGTGATGCGGATGCTGAGAATTAGCCGTCTTAAACATGACTTTCCTAGTGATGCCCCCAGCTAAACGACTCTGGGTTTGGACTTTCAGATCCGTGAGCTGTATCTCTGGCCTCCCGCTTCCCGAACCTCTGCGTCCTTCCAGCCAGGAACCGCGATTTGGGAAACAGCCCAATTTCCCGTCTATCCTATCCGCTCCCGCAGATTGGTGGGCGAGGAGGCAACTACGTTGCGGTGAGACATCCTCCAGGCCCAGACATTCATCTCTGTCCATTTCAAGGCCCCGAGCCTGCGCCGTATATAACCAAACACTGCGCCCACAACGGAGGACACAGCGGCCTTTCTTTGTGTTTTATTCAAGAATCTTGGGCAAATCTGGCTCTGGGCCTGCGTTCAAGATCCTGATTGGAGACTGGTTCGGAAACCGGAGTTGAGGCTTCTTTTGGAAGGGAAGAGAGGAGGGGAGCGCGCTCTGGCGCTGCTCTTGGGAGGATTACGGCGGAGGCTGTGGACCGCGGCGCCGCTCGCCGAGGCTGCAGCCATTGCACAGCTGAGCATCCTACATTCAACAGGAGGAACCCGCGGGAGAGGAGCTCCGAGCCCGCCGCGCCGCAGCCGCTGCAGCCCGTGCGTCCCGCGCCCTCGCGCGCCATGGCCAAGGAAGGCGTGGAGAAGGCGGAAGAGACTGAGCAAATGATCGAGAAGGAGGCAGGCAAGGAGCCGGCGGAGGGCAGTGGCGGCGGCTCGCACCGACTCGGGGACACCCAGGAGATGCGCGCGGTGGTGCTGGCAGGCTTCGGGGGACTCAACAAGCTGCGGGTCACCAGGAAGGCCATGCCCGAGCCACAGGACGGCGAGCTCAAAATTCGCGTCAAAGCCTGGTCCAGTATCCGCGCCTTTCTTGCTTTCTCTCTCTTTGCGCGCTAGGCGCTCGCGGGGTGGAGGTGGCAGAGCCTCGGTGGGGACCGCGACCGGGGTACTGCCTCCGCGGGGTCCACCTCGGAGCCCCGACCTGGGTCTCACCTCCTCCCCGCGGCCAGTCGCCGCTGATGCTGGGGAGCATGCTGAGTTGGCCGTTACCCTCCCCATGCCGGGTCTGGGGGTGACAAGAGGGGACTGTGAGCTCTCGGAAGGGGACGCGACGGGTGGATGGTGGCGCTCAGCACTCAGGGTCTGGAAGATTGCGCCGGGGGAGCAGCTGCCAGGATAGGGGGTTCAATGGTAACGTGGTTTAAAAAATAATAACCGTCTGCTTACTGTGTACCAGCCATCGTTTTTAGAGTTTTTTTGTGAGCGATCTTACTTAATAGTTCCTGGGACCCAGTGCCTTAGCTACTACCATCAGCATCCCCGTTACGGGGACCTGGGCTCAGAAAGAGAGAGAGTGAGTGATTTGCCCAAGATCACCCTGCCACCACTAAGTGCCATGGCCAGGATTTGATCATCGTTGTCACCTCTATAGACGCCCTGATGGGGCTGGGGACAGGATGCAGGGCTAGGGATATGGTGTCCTTCCTCCCTGCTCCTGCACTCCTTCCTCCTTGTAGCTTGGAATGGGAAGCAGGGAGCCAGGTACCAAGCATCTGGGCTTGGTGGGGGGTGGGGTCAAGGCTGAAGCCTAACCCTTCTTCTTTCCCACTACATCTTCTGTTTCTTTGAAGAGGGGGTAAAAACCAAACCTGGTCAATCTTCTCCGAACTCCTGCTCCTGGTCTCAGATGGAGCTCATCAATATGAGTGCCTTTCTGCTCTCCCTCCTCCTGGGGCACTTCTCAGACCCAAACCCAGCTGGGATCCGCCTCCCCTCACCCCAACCCCCAGGTGTTTAAGCCTCTCTGACTGCTCTCACTGCAGGATCATTTCCTGAAGGTCAGGCAGGAGCGTTCACCTGTAGTGTTCACTGGACCCAACCCTCTGAGTTCTCCAGGCAGCAGCCTGGAAAGCTCCTCAGGGAAACTTGCCGGGAGCACGGTCAGATGGGCCTGTCCCTTCCCATCTATACGTTTTAAATCCCTCAACAGACACTGCTCTGTAACACAGCAGCCAGCTCAACGGTTCCCAGGTTAAAGCCCCAAACCCAGAATCTGGGACCATATCTAGAGGCGAGAAACATGCAAAGGGGATTCACCTGCCTTGCTACTCTGAGAGCAGGGGCAGGTTTTCCATTTGTCAGACTGGAAGGCAGCTAGTGAGAGAAGCAGGCACAGTCTCCTCTTGGTCTGCATGTATGCAGCTGGTCATGCTTGATTCTAAACAGGACTCTCGGGCCTCTCCCTGGAGAACTCAGGGCAAGGGAAGAGGCTTTTGCAAACTGGGGCTCCTATATAGCTCTATTTTGTTAACTCTTGCTGAACCAAGCTGATTGATCCTTGAAGGCAGAGTTCTTGTCTGCTCCTTTCGCAGATAAATCCCCAGTACACAGCACAGTACGTCCTACATAAGTTATTGCTGAATGAATGGATTGAGGAAAGGTGCTTGGAGGGAGATTTTTGTGTCATTGCTTTTCTTCATTTGCTGATGGAAGAATGTCTGTCTAATACAATTAAAACCAGGAACTGATAATTCACCTTCCTTAACCACCAACCAAAAATATTTTATGTATGTGTATATACACATATATAAAATTTTTCACTCTCCATCCAAACTGAGGGCTCTAGGACTCTGACTGAGTCTGTATGCAGGAAGTGAAAACGCTGAAGCTACTTTTTAAAGAAAAGAGCATCACCTGAAGTGCCAATGGGTCTGGGTTCTCTAGCCTTATGCTAAGGGCATAAATGCTGATAGGAGCTGAAGCATTTGCAATAATAAATGTCAAGATGAAGGTGAGGAGATTGATTTTTCAAAGCTAGACACACGATCCTGTTCTTCACTGGGGCTGTGTGCACAAACATGCACGCTCGCGCGCGCACACACACACACACACACACACACACGGGAATCACTGCGGACCCCCACCCAGTTGTTCAGAAAGCCAGCCAGGCCTGGAGGAGCATTTGGAACACAGTGTTGCAAAAGTCCCAGATTGATTTTCATTTCACTATGCTGGAAGCAGAGTTAATCGGTTTTGCGAGGGGGGATCAGAATAGATGTGTGAAGATTGCCTGCCAGGCCCCTCCTCCTCCACGGGGCTGGGATAGGCTGGCCAGAGATGCCCATTGAGTGTAAGTTTAGCCTTAGGAGCCAGGATGACTCATTCTGTGTTTTTATGAATCAGTGGATGGCCTCCTGGATGAAGGTCAACACTTTATCTGCTTTCTACTTTTAATGGAAACCTTTTATCATCAAATAGGATATGCGTTTTTGCTTGGGAATAAAGCATAGTCCACCTGAATTAGTATTCAGACCTGGAATGAAGGTCCAAATTGGTTTCTCTATAAATTTTATGGAAATGGAAGAGAAGAGGCAGGGGAAATACATACTATACCTCATTTACACCCTCTCATTTATGGTCTAATGAAATTGGTATTATGGTAGAGCAAATTAGGTTTGGAGATGTTGAGTAAGTTGACAACATCATCACACAGATAGAAGAGTTAGGACTTGAACCCTGGTCTCTCTCTCCTTAAAACTCTGTTGTTTTCCTTTTATTCTATGTTGTCTCTCCCCATGGTAAAGCCACAAGAAATGTGAGTTACCTCTCCAGACCTTTGGCATGTATGCTTCCTTTCCCTTTTCCTGTGAAGACAGCTCCTTTGATCTTTTTATGTCTGGCTTAAGGGAACACTCGTGGCTGTTTCCAGAGTAATACAGCTTTTCCCCTAAAATGGAGACAGGATGGTCAAATACAACGCAAAAAGAACCAACTCAGGGACAGGAAAGTTTTCTGTCTAAATTGTTGCAAGAACATCAGTTTTGATGGGGAACCCATTTCACCAACCATTCTTTGACCAGTTTACACGGCAAGTGGTTTGGGCAGCCACACAGAGGCAGTGGGTGGCCTTTGTGGAAAGGTGGAGCCGGAAGCCCAGGCACCACCCCTTTCTACCTGTGTAGCATCAGTGGACCTGTCTCTTACCTCCTCTAAGCTTTCTGTTCCTTGGCTGCAAAATGGGGATATGAAGATGAACTTCATGGTGTTGAGAGGACTGGGTGCAAGGAAGAGACTGGTCCACGGTTAGCATTAAGTAAATAGTAGCTATTGTTGCGACTGTTGTCATCTTTGTTGTCATGAACTGTGACATGGTTCTTGGCAGCTTGATAACTTGAAGGCCATCATTTTAATCATGTGTATAATCAGGCAATATCATGTCACGGCTTCTTAGTGATTAAGAGTGAGACCTTCCTAGACATGAGTCACAGCTCTGCCACTTGCTAACTGGATGTCTTAGGTCTGGTCCCTGGCAGCAGAGCCTGAGACAGGGATGTTTTTTCTAAGCGGTTGATTGAGGATGCTTTCAGGAGAATGGGAGCAAGAGAAGTGGGATAGGGCAGGGAGAGAGGCTAAGTAAGGATGTGGTTTCACTGGATCCCATCAGGAATTCTGGAGCAGGAATTGTACCACAGAGTCCATCTGACCTAGAAGCAATGGGGGAAATCTTTTGTACCTCTACACCTCCCCTCCTTCCCACTTTCTTCAGTTAGTTTTGGGGTGTGGGCTACTTCCTGAGTGGGGGCATGGAAACTACAAGCAGACTTGGCTTCTGTTTGACTGAGGACAGTTCCCCTTGGAAGTGGGGAAGCAGGAGAGGGGACCGTTCTGAGCAAGCAGCCCACACTCCCGGTGGCTGATGGGTGGGTGCATTACCTAGTGAAAGGGACGGGGTGAGGCACGAACAGTGTGCCTTCTATACTAGTTAACCTTGGACATGTTGCTTACTCCTCCAAACTTCAGCATCCTGTGAAATGGAGGTAAAAACAGCCCCTTTCTTTGTAGTGTTGTTATGGAGTTCAAATGAGACACAGTGCATAAGGACCTTCCTGACGATGCCTGGCACACAGCAAGTGGTCAATAAATGATAGCTGTTATTACTTAAACGATTATTTTTGGTTTCCATAGACACTCTCTATGGTTTAGCATTCAAACTGGAGCTCTTTTGAAAGGGGCACTAAAGTAATTAGTCTGGGACTACAGGAGCAAACTGGAATTGTCCTAGGTAAACCAGGTGTGTGGTCCCCCCTAACTGATAAGGATCAGGTCAGTGCCTTTGCTGTCAGCAGTCTGGTCACCGTAGAGCTTCTGCTGGGCAGGAGCTGGTAGAACACAAGGCTGCGGGTCTCCAGGCTGGGCTATGGGAATGTATTCAAGTGGCCATTAACAAGCCTTGGCTGGTTTGTGGCTCCGATTGGCGTGGGGTGGAAAGGCACTAATGGACTGGGGACGTTTATTTTCTCAGACTGATTTATAGCAAGAGGCCTCAGGAAACTGCTGGAATGAGACCAATTGGATGAAAAATGGTTCCAGCCAGTCATGGCTCCATGGGCTGATCTGAAAATGGGCCGAGGGCAGGCCACGCCAGAGGAAAGCCAACAGACTGATGGGATTCTATATGTCATGAAGGGAAAGTACATGGGAGATGTGGGAGGGAACTAACATTTATTGAACCCTTGTTATGAGCCAGGAACTGAGTAGCCTAATATATATTCTTTGTTTCATTTTATTCTAATAGCAACTCAGCAAGATTGGTATTACTACCTCCATGTTAAAGATGGGGAAACTGCCCGTCAGAGACGTGTCAGGATCGCAAACCGCTAAGTGGAAAAGCGGTGTAAAAATCCAAGTTCTGCCTTGCTCCTGGACTGTTTACATTTGGGAGTTGGAAAATCGGAGAGACACAGTGACAAAGGCATGGGCGGGGGAGGGAGGGAGGGGGAGAGAGAGAGAACAGAGACAGTGAGAGACCAAGAGAACACAGACAGACAGAGAGACACAAGGCTGGAATCAG